AAACAGCCTCAAGTGATGTCAGAAAACAAGAGTACCATCAACAGCTACCAGCTCTGTATATGCTCCACTCCAAAGTATGGATGGATCAGATACCACCAAGTCCCATTTTGTCAATGGAACAAGTAGCAAATACCTCAACGTATGCCGTCCAACCCATATCTTGAGGACACCAAGATCTCTACTGTAGAGGACGAACCAACGCTTATATACAGCACAGAGTCGTTCGAAGACCTAAATGGCACATCAATAAATGATATACCACCTAGGTCACCTGAACTTGACAGATACTAATACTAGGAAGAAGTTTTTACCAGTTTTAATGACATTGATGATTCCTCTAAAATACCAGTGGACAAGCTTAAAATTTACTACTCTAATGTAGACACTCTGACCAAAACAAAGAAGTCCGAACTTGAACTCTATATAGAAAATAACCATCCAGATGTGATATGTCTCTTCGAAATTCTACCAAAAATGTACCAAACCCCAGTAGACAACAGAATGTACAACATACAAAACTACAACCAAGTTATGGGGCAACATAGGAAAAGAGGTGTGATCATATATGTAATCACCACTATTGATTGCGACTCCCTACAGCAAACCTATGTCGCCAACCAATCTCACACATACGTAACGTAGGGGATTTACAAAGAGATAAACTGGAACCATTACACAACCAGTGTTAGTGAGTAGCATCCAGCAACACTCTTCCTAGAGTGCATAAGGGACAACTTCTTGTACCAACATGTCACAGAAACTAACAGATACAGAGAAGGACAAACACAATCAACATTGGATCTAATCCTTTCCAATGAAGAGGGAATGGTTGAAAGTCTCAATTATTATAATGGACTAGGGAAAAGCGACCATCTTGTACTAACCTACGACTTTATCTGCTACAGTCAAATTCCACGAGCAGAACAAATTCGGGCACCCATGAAACATAATTTTCACATAGGAGACTATGAATTAATCAATGAGGACCTCAAACAAAAGGATTCTCATGAACTTGGTAGATGTTCAGACGTCAAGGAGGCTTGGGAGAAACTTTCTATGATTATCACTAAAGAAATAGAGAAACATGTACCAGTGAGGAATAACTCCCGATCCCTCCCAATAAGGAAAATCAACATCGACAAAGCTTCAAGAGACTCTATTAAGAAAAAAGAGCAACGTTGGAAAACATAACTTCACTGTAAAAACACAGAAAACTTCATAAAAAACAAGACTGAGAGAAATCGAAGCGTCCATTTAATTAGAAGATCAAACTATACATTTGAAAAGGTTTTGGTGGACAACATCAAAACAAACCCAAAGCCGTTCTGGAAATATGTTCCAACTAAAACAAAAACAGCAACGTCCATCACCAGAGTCAAAAATGATAAAGGAGAAATGACAACCTCAGACTTGGAGACGGCCAACGTTATGAACACTTTCTTTGCTAGTGTATTTGTTGACGACAGCGAAGTAGTTTTGCCTGAGTTTGAGGAAAGACCATACGATAGCGTGCTTACCGAACTATCAGTGACAGAAAATCATTTGTAAGCAGCAACTAAGAAAACCAATCCAAACAAATCTCCTGGCCCAGATAACATCCATCCAAATTTCATCTAAAAAACAATAGAATCATTAAAAGAAACTCTTAACAAACATCTTTAACAGGTCTATTCAAGAAGGAACCCTGCCAGATTCGTGGAAAAAGGCTCATGTCTCACCAATATTTAACAAAGGTTCTTAAAGTGACTCGGGAAACTACAGACCTATCAGTTTGACGTCAGTTCCATGTAAGATCCTACAACGCATAGTCCGAGATGCAATCTTAAAACACATGGACAAGAACCATCTCTTCACCCCCCACCAACATGGCTTCAGAAGTGGCCGCTCCTGTACCACTGAACTACTAGAGGTCATTGAAGACTGACTGAACACAGGCACTAGATGATGGGAACAATGTGGACATCATATACCTCGACTTCAGCAAAGATTTTGACAAAGTGTCGCACCGCTTGCTATTATACAAACTATATAAATATATATATATGGTATCAGAGGTCATTTTGGCTTGGACTAAGGAATTCCTAAAAGGCATGACCCAACGAGTTACAATCAACAGAGCGAAATCCTCAAGTCTTCCAGTCACAAATGGAGTTCCCCAGGGAAGCGTCCTTGGCCCGATACCATTCTTGATCTACGTCAATGACACGCCTGAACTTCTCAGCTGTATAACCAAATTATTTGCGGACGATACCAATCTCTATTCAAAAACTCGAACAGAATTAGAAAGACAACAACTCCAAATAAACATCAACAAAATAAGTAACTGGACCGACAGCTGACTCATGAAGCTAAACACCAAGATGAACAAACAACCGAAATAGAGAAAGTAGCCACAGCAAGGGACCTTGGAGTTCACTTTGACAACATCCTAAAATTCTCAACCCAAGTCAATACGGCAGTGTCGAAATGTTAGGTATACTGTTTCGAACTTTCATTTTTATTGATATAGCTCTTTTTATAACCCTGTAAAAGTCAATTATCCGTCCACATCTAGAATACGCGACGCAAGTGTGGTCACTGTATCTAAACAAGGACAAAATAGCTATCGAAAATGTCCAACGAAGCGCCACTAAAAGACTACTAGAAATACAGATTATGCCCTACCATGAACGCATAAGAACATTAGGTCCACCATCTCTGAAATACAGGCGTGAGAGGGCAGATGTGGTTGAGTTGTATAAAATATTGAACGGGATCGACCAGTTATGCTACGGGCTGATGTTTCGTCCTACACCACTTAGTATCACTACATGTCACTCTAAAAAGATATTCAAGAAAAATTTCAGGCTTAACACTAGTAAGAATGTCTTACATAACCGAGTGATCAAGGTCTGGAACAGTCTACCCGAGGAAACTGTCTCGTCAAAAACATTTAACGAGTTCAAGTCAAACTTAAACACACTGTGGAGGAATCACCCCCGGAAGTTCAGCCCTTCCTTTTATCGTTAATGATTCACACGGAAATCTCATTTACCATTAGAATGTTAGTTACTACCTATAGCATAATTGAGGTTATATACATAAATCTTTTAAATCATACATAAATTATTGGCATAATAAACAAGTATTCACAATAAAATAAAGTGTAAAAGCTTGATACATTGTAAATAGTTTTAATCCCTGCGCAACCGCAGTCCGTTGATGGCAGGCTATTCTGCTAGCAACGTATCAAGTGAGAAGAGGATATTTAGACGTCTCCACAAGCTCAAGCTTCCGATCGACGTTCAACAACAACATATATATTGTTAATAGTTCTTTACAATTATTGAAAAACAACCTGTGTGCGCAACCGGAAGGAAGTTGTGTCCAGCAGAAGTTTATTGACAAGGATCATACCATTCGGCTAACCTCGGCCGATTCGGGTACCTTTCATCTAGATGTAGATCTGCCGAGGTGTGCCGAATGGAATCATCCATCATCAAGAAGCCATTGATGTCAACCAGTGATTCCAGTGATTCAAGGGGATACCCGAACCGGGCGAAGACTTAGATAAAAGAAGGAGGAGTGCAGTGGAATTTGACTGGGTCGATCGTCGGCGACCAGTTAACTCAATTGGTAGAGCGTCCGTCTACAGTTCGGAGGGTCCCGGATCTAACCTTTGTCTGGCCGTTGGATTTTCTCTTTTTCCTGTTACACTAGAATGAAACCGATGACCAGAAAGTTCTATTGACGGCCCAAGTTTCAAGAACGTTTCTGAAAATTTCCATTTCAGCTCGTCTCGCGGAATCATTTTTAATTATTGCTAGAGGGGGTTCCAGGAATATCGTTTGCTCTGACGATACAGAAACTTCATTGCTGTAAATATCATAGGATCCTCAAAATAAAACCACTGATAGGAAGGTAGAACATTTACGCCGGTATAAACGCAAACCGGCTTCAGCCATACTGCAATTTTAATGATGTAATTACCTAAGTTTGCAATAGCCTCTTGCGAGTTACTTGAGAACATACATGGGGACAGGTATATCTTCTATAACCATGGTGATTTGTTTGTTGTGTTTGGTAATGTTTTCCATATACTCGGATAGTGCCGCACAGTAAGCGAAGTATTCCTCGAGCCTGAAAAAGTATAATAGAACTTGGTCACTATGATTTTATATATTGTATTGTATTTATTACATCGGAATCCTATGAACACTGAATATTATAACTTTGTGTTTTGAAATTACTAGTATTTAGAGATAATATCTAAATATTTAGCGTGTTTAAAAGGCCACAACAAAATGCCAATAACCAGCCACCAAACCTCCTAGTTCTAGCTGTAAATAGAATTAATCACTTCAACGTGTTACAGAAGTTTTCTGGTACATGCATGTGAGTACTGTACTGTAGTATCTCCAAGGATCAAGAACTGTATCGAGTAGCTGATACACCAATAATAGGAAAAGTAAAACAAATAGCTATACAGGAAATGTATGCAATACCTACTCGTCGGCAAGTTGACACAGTGAGTCCACATCAAGGATAAAGATACCTTCCATGCTAGAGTTTAAATTTAATGGAAAATAGTAGCGATGTCGTAACTAGGTTCAATTGTTCTCGAGAACATGCGAGAGTGTTGACGTAATTCCATCTATGACGTCATACTATTTGTGGTCGGGGTCGGAGTTCCTTTTCATTTGCGCAGATCTTTGAAACATAATGGATGGTGCTATTAAAGTATTGAAACACATGCTTTGAATATTTCTTAGGGTTTGATTCCCAGTTACTAACAAATAAAGCTGGCATATTATTAAAAACAACAAAGAACACAGTATTTGATCTGTCTGGGTATAGTTCAGCATACATTTTAAACACGTTTTTTTTACCAAATTGCCGAACGTCCATTTCTGTGGAAACAATGTCATGTTCTCTGTGGTTACCATTCCCGACTGGGGATACTTAATTGAAACGATCATCGGAAACCATTCGGGAAGGTGTTAATTGAACGTCACGACATTAGTTGTGCCCGATTATTTCCAAAGTCTGATATGAGAACAGAACTGGAAAATATTAACGTCAAAAGATCCCTTCGTTACTCTTTCATACTAACATTTTGAATTGTTGCGTTAATTTAGAGACTGTACCAGCGTCTCTGTTTGTTGCCTTTGCCTAACAAATCTTCTAGGTTCGGAGAAAAGAAGGCATCTGCTGTACGATCTTCGTAAGATTGTAAGGCCATTTAATTGAGAGTTTCTGTTAAATCTTTTTTGTGGCAAAGGGAATCAGCAGTAATGAATCACTTAATTTAACAAGTACAAATTGTAATGGGGGACCATTACAGAAGTCTACCAAACTGCCCCCATTGTCGCAAAGATACACCAGAAAAGGATCACAATGGCATAAAACACCTTGATACTAAATTTGGGTGAAATCGAACAATATCTTAATTTCGACCAATCTTAAGCATCCATGTTGTTGGTATGGCAACGAAACATATGCAGTTGAATTTGCAGTCCCCTAATACCCATATATACCAATTTTCATAAAAATCAAACAATACATAAATTACCACCAATCAGAAGCCTCCGTGTGGTTGCTATATAGTTACTATAGCAACGAAACATATGCGGCTTAATTTGTAGTCCCCTAATACCCATATATACCAATTTTCATAAAAATCAAACAATATCTAACTTTCGACCAATCAGAAGCCTCCGTGTGGTTGCTATGAAGTTGCTTTGGCAACGAAACCTATGCGGTTGAATTCGCAGTCCCCTAATACTCCTATATACCAATTTTTATCAAAATCGAACAATATCTTCCCCATAGTCGCACAGATGCATCAGAAAATGATCGCAATGCCTTTATACACCCTACATACTAAATTTGAGAGAAATCAAACAATTTCTAAATTGCGACCAATTAGAAGCCTCTGTGTGGTGGCTATGGCAACGAATGAATGCGCTTGAATTTGCAGTCCTTTAATACCCCTACATATCGATTGTCATCAAAATCGAACACTATCTAAATTTTGACCAATCAGAAGCCTCCGTGTGGTTGAATTCGCAGTCCCCCTAATACCCCTGTAAACCAATTTTCACCAACAACGAGCAATATCTAAATTTCGACCAATCAGAACCCAGTATATAGAGGCTATTTTGTCAAATTAGAAAACAAATGTCGCAGTTGAGTTTGCAATGCCATATTACACATACATACCCAATTTGAACGAAATCGAACAATAACGGAGTTTCGACCAATCAGCAACCAGTATATGGCAGCCATTTTGTCTAATTAGAAAACAGATGTCATGGTTGAGTTCGCAGTACCATCATACACCAACATGCCAAATTTGGAATGCATTGGAAAATATCTATAAAACATGTAAAATAGGATAGGTTACATTGGCTATCTTTAGCGAACACCTTTAGAAATTTTAAATTCCCAAAAATTTCAAAAATTCATGGCGGCCATCTTGGATGGTAATCGGTAATAGTTTGGGGGAATTAATTATCCAATAAGTTAGTAACAAGAATATAGAAATGAAGCCGTGTTCATTTGACAGGTAATGCTGAGATTACTTTGTTTTCGAAATATATGTGTGTTAAAAGACCTCAATCATTCCCAATAATTAGGAATTTCGACATACATTTGCAATCTCGATACTATGAATATACTATGCCGCAAAACAAGAGAAGTGTCTCAATTCCATTTCTATTGTCAAGACAATGGACGTCTGCGAACCCAATGTGTCTAAAATGACTTCTTAATGTTACTCACACTAGAAACTCTATTTCGTGTGTTCTGTGTTGACAAGCAAATTACTTCTAACAAAACACAACAACAAAAACTGATTTTAGTTTGATATATTCAAATGTATTATTCATGCTATACAATATATTAACGGAAGACTATCAGCACAAAACTTAGCACCAAATATTATAGCACACAAATATACTCTCACATCCGGTACACATTATAACACCACACACATACACGCATTTTCTCACTCCCGATACACACATAGGCATTTTCTCGCTAACGATACACACATGGGCATTTCCTCACTTCCGGTACACACATTGGCATTTTCTCGCTTCCGATACACACAGGCATTTTCTCACTTCCGGTACACACACTAGGCGTATATACACATTTTACTTCCGGTACACAAACATATGTCTCATATCAACTCGCTCCATGTAACAGACAACTGACATCCGTTTGAGCAACTATGGCATTGTTTCCTTCTTGAGTATCAAATGGTTTGAGACATTCTATATTTCATATAGACACGGCCATACCCTGGTAAACTGTGGCAGTCCACAACAAACCGGAAGTCAGGTTGAGATGTGATTGCACAGTGGTTTGAGTTATCAGCACTTTTTAGAAATTTAAATCAGTACAATGTCATGTGTCAAATCATACTGTAGTCGTCAACCTCGAAGGCGAGGGCGGCGGCGATGAAACTGAGGAGGATACCGCAGGAGTAGACGATATGGACGATGGTGACGCTGACGTTGTTTCCTGGGAGGCCTGTTCTATGTGTTTGGAAATCTGTAACAACGAAGAGATTCATTATAGTGATGTTTTTTTCTAATGAAGGAAACAATGGTATCGAAAACAGTAAACATAGTTGTCCATAATCTTTAATCGCAGTCAAAAATGGCGACAATACGAGTATTTGCGAAATAGAATCAGTTCAACATGGGAATTATCGTGAAGAGAGATAAATGAAAAGAATAATAATAATATGGATAAGATCCAATAGGTCGTTATTTGACCTCCAACTGACCTTAGATAAGAGCTTGCCAGCTGTTTTATGATGGCTGTACTGATGAGCACCTTTCCGGATCGCTGCTATGGATCCGTTTTCAGACTTGAAACACCGCTTGATGAAATCCCAGCATGCCACTTTAAGGTCCATGAGTTTAAACTGGCTTGCTCCACACAGAAGACCTATAAAACAAAACAATTGTAAATAAATTTACGGTGAAATTTAGTCTTTTTTTCAATATGACAAAAGAAATATAAAAACATATATAAGCACCAAGCGAATACTTTTAATATTCAAGAAATGCTATTCGGGGTCAAAAGTAGTTGGCCATGACACTAAGCACAGTTTGCTGGTGCACACTTTGTGTCGGGATACTTTAAACTTGTTCCTACCTGTGACATTTTTGGCAGTGACGTCAACTGCTCCACAATGGATGAACTGGACAATCTTTCGGAAATCTTCTGGCTCGTATTTCTTCACGTCAATGACCAGGCGAGAGCTGATTCGGGATTTCCGGGATTTCTTCGACTTATTTTCTTCTTCCTCCTTCTGTTTCTGTAGAATCAGCTGGTACATGACCCTGAGAATGGAGAAACAGAACATGCTATAAAAAATCTTTTCATAGGTCTGGAACTTTGCGTTTAGTCTACTCAATAAGATTGGTTAAAGTACTCACATTCCTTCATTATTACCAAATCAAGTGTTAACCTTTCTTAATTTGTAGTTTTAATTATTTCACTCATTGTTTGTTTACCTGCTGCGAGTTCCAAGAATTGCTTTCACGCCGTGAACCGGAACTTTGGTAGGCCCAACGAGGAAAGTGACGTCACACAGCTCTGGCATGGACAGGATGTACTTAAGCTGTTCACAGAGGGCGCTGGTACTATTGTAGTTCACGGCATCTTTAGCCTTGTAGTCGCTTTCTTGGTCGCTTGAATCGCCTACTTCCAGCAAAGACTCCGGGTTTGATTCATATCCAGATGAAAATCCAACGTCTGTAAAAAGAACGATAAATTCATTATTACTCAATGAAAGATTGCAGGAGATTGAAACAGGTGTATACTTTCCCCCAAAAGTTTAATGGTAAAGATATACCACTTTTAATATCAACCTGTGTATACATGTCTATTATAATGGTATCGCTATGTATATTTTTTTATAACTTGTGAGGTGAAATACGATATACTATTTTCACATACGAACGTAGATTTATCATTTTCTGTTTGAACAGGGACATCTATCTCTGTCGATATCACAAAAGATGTAATAAACAGCGAATGTCAGTAGATTTGTTTATTCACAGTATTCAGTAAAACTACGTGTACAGTGGGTGGTTGTTCACCAGGAACGCATCCATCATACAGTCAAAAAGATAGGGCAGCTTGTAAGATTATTACATAAAAGTGCATGTATTTTAAGATACATTTCAGTTCTTTCCTTATTCGATTGATATGTTCAAATGCGGCGATCGATTGTTATGTTTGTAGCAAGATCGAAAGTTTAGTTTTATTTTAATTTCAATTAAATAAAACTTATGTATCATATATGAAACTGGTGATGTTTTGTTCTGTCGCTGTATAATACCGAACCTTTGGTTACAGTTGAAAAAGGTGTTTCAAAATTTAATGATGGAATTATTCCCAAGTTGTATATCAGCGAGTTTTATATGAATAGTGGTGAAATGAGTAACATGATAACATCTGAACAAAGTTTTATCTTGATGTGTTTATTCCAAGTGTAAATCAATTTCCTGCTGTAGGTAAACCACGGACAACCACCCATATTGTCAAGTAAAAAAGTTTATAAAAAGTGTATTTGTGAAAATTAAATCTATTGAAATGGGTGCCCACCAAGTAGCCATTTAACCTGAAGTAAATGTATTTTTTCTGGGTTGTACCCTAGCTAGCTCACACTGAGACCATTGTAGTCGAGATATACATCGTATCTTTGTACTGTAAATTGAAATTTCGGTGTGCTTTCGAAATGATATATAAAGCGTAATCTGCGTGCCGTAATTATTCTAAATAACGTATTCGATTAAATCATTATATTAACCCACATATACGTCAAATAATTTCAAGCATTGCTACCTGCGCCTGATAATGTGGTTAGCTTTGTCAGGTAATATGGTTAGCTTTGTCAAGTATTATGGCTAGCTGCTCCAGGTAATATGACTAGCTTTGTCAGGTAATATGGCTAACTTTGTCGGGTAATATGGTTAGCTTTGTCGGTTATGTGGCTAGCTGTGCCAGTTAATATAGCTAGCTTTGTCAGATAATATGGTTAGCTTTGTCAGGTAATGTGGAAAGCTGTGCCAGGTAATATGACTAGCTTTGTCAGGTAATATGCCTAGCAGCGCCAGGTATTATGGCTAGCTTCCTGAGATGATATGGCTAGCTGTGCCAGGTATTATGGCTAGCTTCCAGAGATGATATGGCTAGCTGTGCCAGAAAACACAGGTCAATACCATTCATCCTATTTCTCCCCTCCTCATTTTCGTGGTTTTAGCCTTTATTAGTTATATTATAATTTAAACTCTAAATTTCCTTACACATTCATTGAACACTATAACATTATGTCAGTATATGCATCAACGTAACGTCCCTTAGTTCATCATAAATGTCTATATGTGATAAAGCTATCAGACCAAGGGTAAGTACAGTCTTCGTCGAAGTGTCGTAAAACCAGGGGAATTTATAGAACAAATATGTCATTCTTTAACAAATAAGTTTTCCGACACTGTCGAGTATTTTAAATCCCCATATTGCTGACTCGTCTGTCCTGATGATCCAAATGTCACTGACAGGGTTTGAAGTTGTATCTTATCTCTTTAAATGGTTTATCAAGTTTCTTGACTTTTCTGTGACCTTGGAGTCGATTAAAGTGGTCCCTGTCCCTTTAGAATGACAATTATCTAACTGATTGGTATAACATGCACACACGCTCTTAGAGAAGTTTTCCTCATATGACATGTATTAAAAAGGAACCAAGATTTAACTGGACAGACTATATACATCTTGTTTATAAAGAATATCATACTTGATCATTCGGAGAAGCGCCCAGGGCAATCGCTGTTTAGATTTTAAATTAAATGTAAATATTCTCGAGTGTAGGATGGGAGTTGATTATACCTTTAATACGTATATAGTACGTTTAGCCTTATACAGACCGACACCTTTTTAATGGTACTTGCCTTGTATATAATCAACTGTTGTACCTCTCGAGTATATTGAATTTTCACAATTTACATTACAGAGATATCAACTCTATCAGCTGTGATGTTATATAATAAATAAACCGCAACTGAACCACAAAGCTATGAAAAGTCCATTTATCTTTAAATTCTATGTATGTTGTATCATTTCTGCAAATTTAATTGAGAAATCAATATTATTGGACAAGATCCTAGACCTATAATAGCGCCCCCTCCCTTTTCATGAAATTAATTTCTATAATTTTTGAACTCAATGTCCGGGGACCAGATACGATTTCTTTGATATATTACCACATGAGATAATATAAGATACCATAGATTTGAGCTAAAATATAAAAGTCCTGTCTGTTAATTATTTAGAGAAAGTGAATACATAAATTGGCTTACCATCGTTGTCAATATTTTCTGTGGTCAAGATGTCTAATTCGTCATTCTGGACAAGAAGAGCTTTAGAATCCGACTTCTCCATTGTCAAGTAAAGAATGGTAAGGTACGAATTGGTTGTAGTGATATTCGTTTCTATGTAAATCTAAGATTGATCATTCTCGTTGGTGTCTCTATCCTTTTTATACACATCCAAAGAAATAACCAATCACCTCAAACAACTCCTGGTCGAGTTAATCCTGTCAGGTAAGTGGCATATTACTAGAGGTGCCATATTTGTCAGTCACGTGCTGTCAGAGTCATCAAATTTCTCACGTGTGAAAACACTGGCACTTGATCGACTAACGAGGACCGTATCTACGGAGTTACGTACAGGCGCCACCCGTCATACCGAATACGGTACGGTTTAGTGTGTGATTTTAACATTTTAATGCGACCTGTCAAAACCAGCTCTTGAGAGCGAGGGGGTGGACCGTTAAAATTAGGTTAGTTGTTTACACGAACATGATTGGTATGTAACGGCCCTTACATTCATTTCTATAGGACCGACGATCGAGTCCATCAAAAACAACAATACGCTATTGTATCACTACCTGTCCAACGAGAAACAGGTGTTTTAATGAGAAACGCTGATGTCGGAAATAAAGTTCTAATACGTACATGCGAACAGGTCACTTTGTCGCACCTGTAGTTCGATTGGAAAACTTGTTATTGTTGAACAATAAAGCACCTAAACTTTCCCATTAGTTCACGTAATGCCTCAATTACACCTATTGTACACTTATCTTTATATCTCAATCGGCATTGGCCGACTGATGCTATCGGTTTATTACCGTAATTAAATATGATAAGTACTTTCACCCCAGGTATTTAATGCAATAAAAGGCTTAAGTTTGGTAGCAAATGTATCCAAAACTACAGGTTAATAAACCCAATTATTGTAACTTGATTTTAGAGTATTACATTTCACTAGTTGAAACACTAATTGTTACAACCTGGAAATGTACACACTCTAATAAATCGTATATTCGACAATTTTGAAGCGAAAATGTTAGGAAACAGAAAGTATCTATACGAAAAAGTAAATTACATATTACATAAGTTATCATCCATACCGGAAATATTTTATAGTAACGTTTGCTAAAATATCGGACAGATACCCACTCCACAATATCTAACATCTGACATTTTGTCGAGTAACAATACAGTATCTACAGAAATTGATTAATTACAGTACATTGACATTCCAACTTATATACAATTTCATTTTTATAATTTTATTGTATTAACGGGTAAACTGTCCTACAATGCTTGACGGAACTTTACAACGTATACACGTATCCACGCTGGCTGCATTGCTGTGTACCTATGTGTAATGCTATATAATTTAAGACAAATCTAATAAATCCTAAATTTTACAATTGATGATGTTGCTCCCGTTACACAGAATGGTAATGTGGAGGTAAATAAATGTTTGAGGTATTATGAGGCCTTGGGAAAACTCTGACGACATAAAATACGTATTATTGTAGGTGTTGTACATTTTGGAATTAAGGACCGACGGCTAAATAAATAATATTATTAATTGCCTATTTTTTAAACATAAGTTAGGTATGCATATAACATTCTTTTTTTTTAATGACCTTAACATTCCAATATTTCTGACACTTGGTTTTCGTGATAGAAAGTAATGAATTTCATCCAATAACTAAACGCAGGGCCGGTTACACGGCGAGTATTTCCTGTTTACTTAAACGTCATAGATCAGTCCTGTTTGTTTACATAATCAACTTATTGTTTACAAGGAATAGATACCCGGCTAGATTACTTCTTTCTTAGACAATCAGGACCTATGTCAACAGATCCTACTCTGACATGGTCACCTTGGAATCCGTTATCAAAACAGATCAACGCGCGTTAAACACACACACATCAAGTTGTCACGCGACGGTCGCACGTGGCCTAGACAGCGGTCACTTTCGACAGTGAGGGAAAGTGACCATTTCTGATCTACTCCGTGTCACTGCTTACCTTAATTGTCAAAAATGGTATAAAAATCGCAATGTCCATCACATTCACCACAATCGTCTCTTTCAATACTCTACAATACAACACAAGGCAACATATATCTTGTTAACGATGGAAAGAACCGACTCTACCGCCAAACTTGTCGACAGTGATCATCTGGGCCTTTTGAGCGACCAGTCGGAGTCTGAAGGTAAATGATAAACAATTGTAAAACTATCGGTGTCGAAATTATCAGGCTTATGCATGACTAATAAGAGTTACTTCCCTTAAATGTGCTGGCCTACGCATTCAATATAATTTGGTACACATAATAAATTGTAAAGTATAGGCCTATATACCTTACAAATGTGATGTGTTTTAGAAGTAAGATTATATGCTACCATACGCATTAAATATAATTTGGTACACAAATAGTTTGCTATAGAATTAAGGATATATGCTACCTTACATAGTATTAAGGCTATCTTACACATTTACCCGTAATTTGTGATAGAATTAAGGTGATATGCTACCTTATGTATATAAATCATACCTGTGATTTATGTAAGAGTTAAGACGATATGCTACTTTAAAAGCGTGATAAGTCTTACGCTTCACACATGTGATTAGTGTTTATGCGATATGCCACCTCACACATTATGCATGTGTCCTGTTAAAATTTACATTTTATACCTGTCATTTGTGTAAGTTAAGTTTTAATGATACATTACATAGTATATCTGTAACTTGTGATAAAGTTAAGGATATATGCAACCTTACACATTGTACTTTTGTATTAAAGATATATATGCTACCTTACATGTTGCGCTTTGAAAACTTTTAAGTGACATCTAGAACTTGTTTTGGAAACATTACAAATATCCACTACCAGATTCAATGACAGATTTCTTGATTTAACGGATTCCGTAAAATGAATGTTGAAAATAACTTATGCCCTTTTTTATTCAGGATTCTCCTCGGGCTACGACTCGGACGATATATCGGACTCCGAATCATGTCCCCTGCACGACAACGACGACAACAAAGATGTCGACGACGGATTGGGCTTGGAATGCGACAACATCAGCAGTGACCCCGTGAAGTACCAGAACACCAGCGCCCTCTGTGAACACCTGAAATACATCTTATCCATGCCAGAACTTTGTGACGTCACATTCCTCGTAGGGCCAACTAAAGTCCCCGTCCATGGAGTGAAGGCTATTCTATCAACTCGTAGCAGGTAAGCTTCATCATACATACAACCATGTGGGTTGGTTCAACGTATTTCTTGAAGACAGAATCCTATCAAATGTTAATTCAGAGGGTCTACAATGCCCAAACAAAAGGAAACACTATTGTTAAGGGTGCATAAATATCATTCATCGAGGATCCTTGTGCTGTACAATAATTGAGGCATGGCACCGCTAAGACGGTTATTTAAAAAATGAAATTTGACAAAATAAATCAAATATATTATGTACATGATAAGAAAACATACAAGATATGGTTATAAGTATATATTACTTCCGGTCCTTGTCACTATACGGTCTCAACTCTTTAACGATTGTTTTGTACCATTTTACCGGCAGATTTCGAGACAATGTCCCTTAACAAATAACCAACATACTTCGGGAGAATATTCCTTTGTGATCCATTGCACAATCTATCACTACTTTTTCTGTAACAACTTGTTTATTGTTTCAGGGTTATGTACCAGCTAATCCTTAAGAATGAACGCTGTATGAAAGAAGCCAAGAAGTCCAGAAAGCCCAGACAATCCCGTTTGACCATTGAAGTGAATAAGTACCAGCCCGAGGACTTCCGCAAGATAGTACAGTTCATCCACTGTGGCTCTGTGGATGTAGACTCCAGAAGTGTTGCAGGTAGGTTTTGATTACAGTCAGCAGTAATACCATTAAGAAACCTCAGTTTCATGAACTTCTGCAATATAAATTGCACTATACAAGTGTATTCAGATTACATCTGACAACATAGATGCAATGACTTTGTTTTTCTTTATGAACATTATTCTTTCCACGTGGTGACAACAACAACAATGATAGCTTTACATTGAATTCTGTCATTTTGTTACCAGGTTTGCTTTGCGGTGCCAGACAGTTTGGATTAGACGATTTGAAGACCGCTTGTTTGGATTATATCAGACGATGTGTCCAGACACGACCTCAGTCGCTGATCACCATACAGAGGGGTGCTAACCAGTACATACACCACCGATACGGCATCAAGTTATTCACCAAGGTAAGCATACCGATTTATGTCGACACTACATAATAAAATACTCTGCTGGCATTTAACAGTTTCACACTGATTTTAAACATTGTTTAATTATCACACTAAGATAATTCAAAGATACTACAGAACAAACGTATGTGACAAGTATAATTCAAGATCAGCCAGTGTTTGCTGTTAATGTATGTTGTCATACTGGGACATCAACCTCCTTTTATGTCCACACAGATAAATGTACACGGTATTGTAGAATCTCAATTTCAAAAAATAAGGGAGACAATTCAATCACAAAGTAAATATTATTGAATTGTGTTAGGTAGCATATACTCCATCTAAAGCCTTGAATAGGAAATATTGAAAAACGCTTTTTGTCACCCTCTAAAATGTAATGGTTTTCTTTGCAGGTGCAGCATCTCATGACATCAACAACCAAGAAAGTGACACCAACTACCAAGAAAGTGACATCAACTACCAAGAAAGTGACATCAACTACCAGGAAAGTGGCTATAGAGACAGCAGTATGAAGTACACCACATAGAATATTTCCACAATAGTGCTAGTGACAATTCTCACCGACTGTAATTCAGAGATACCCACTTTGTTAGAAGTGCTAGTTACAGGTATCTGTGGGTCAGATACATGTCCCCTGCCTTACCGGACACCTATGATTGGGCATTGTGTGCTATGTTTGGACATTTATCAACAACTGTTCTAGTATTGCCTCGTACTTGGACACTTGCCAACAACTGTTCTAGTATTGCCTCGTACTTGGACACTTGCCAACAACTGTTCTAGTATTGCCTTGTACTTGGATACTTGCCAACAACTGTTCTAGTATTGCCTTGTACTTGGATACTTGCCAACAACTGTTCTAGTATTGCCTTGTACTTGGATACTTGCCAACGACTGTTCTAGTATTGCCTTGTACTTGGATACTTGCCAACAACTGTTCTAGTATTGCCTTGTACTTGGATACTTGCCAACGACTGTTCTAGTATTGCCTTGTACTTGGATACTTGCCAACGATTATTCTAGACATTTTATGCTGTACGGAGACACACGGATGGTTTTTGTTATTATTAAATTACAGTGCTATAAGATTGGGGCAATCCAAAATACTCTCAAACGTTGACACTTAATTTCTACAATTACTGTGCTGTTATCATACCATTGTATGTTTCCTGTAAATAATAAAACAAATGTTAATTTCTGATTTCCAGTTTCTATTTCGTTTTTCCTTTAATCTCTTATGTGTTTTCAGTGTAACAATACATGTTCTACTGTGATGTAACTACAATACAAAACACATGCATTCCATACTTTGTTACCACTAGAATGGTCCCATATTGTCAACGCCTATTGGAGACAACAAGAATAGTCCACATATAAAACAACATCTCCAGTAACTCAATTATCCAGGAAGAACTCGCTCATACCCAACAGCAACTCATGGAAGAGTTCAAGGGAAACATTAACAGTATGGTAGACACCAGATGCAAGGAATGGGAAGAAAGGAAATCTAAAGAACAAAATATTATCCTATTCCACGTTCCAGAAAAAACAGATCCAAACCCCCTCAACAACAAGTCTCTAGATGACCAGGACATACGTTCACTGAGCCATACATTAGGAGTCCATCCGATAGGTATTCTAGCTCATTTCCGTATAGGACGAAGTAAAGCTGATTCCATCAGGCCACTAGTTGCTGTTCTAGACAGCAAACAACAAATGAAACTCCTGCTCGAAAACGCCCGTTCTATAAAAGACAGGCCCCTGAAAGACTCAAGAGTGTAATCCTCACTAAAGATCTGACAAAACAGCAGAGAGAAGAAAAGAAACAACGACTAGAGAACAGAAGGCCCAACTCACAACAGGTACTTACCCCATCCAGCCTAGGTAGTAATTTCACAAACAACACTTCAGACAAGAGGAAGAACCCACAGGTAGGAACAACACCAAGTTGCCCAGTCTCTAAAACAGCCTCAAGTGATGTCAGAAAACAAGAGTACCATCAACAGCTACCAGCTCTGTATATGCTCCACTCCAAAGTATGGATGGATCAGATACCACCAAGTCCCATTTTGTCAATGGAACAAGTAGCAAATACCTCAACGTATGCCGTCCAACCCATATCTTGAGGACACCAAGATCTCTACTGTAGAGGACGAACCAACGCTTATATACAGCACAGACTCGTTCGAAGACCTAAATGGCACATCAATAAATGATATACCACCTAGGTCACCTGAACTTGACAGATACTAATACTAGGAAGAAGTTTTTACCAGTTTTAATGACATTGGTGATTCCTCTAAAATACCAGTGGACAAGCTTAAAATTTACTACTCTAACGTAGACACCCTGACTAAAACAAAGAAGTCTGAACTTGAACTCTATATAGAAAATAACCATCCAGATGTGATTTGTCTAACCGAAATTCTACCAAAAATGTGCCAAACCCCAGTAGACAACAGAATGTAAAACATACAAAACTACAACCAATTTATGGGGCAACATAGGAAAAGAGGTGTGATCCTATATGTAATCACCACTATTGATTGCGACTCCCTACAGCAAACAGGACCCTTTGAAGAACAAGTATCCTGTATACTAAACCTAAAGGGCAGAGATAAACTTGCTATCTACTGTATCTACAAAAGCCCAAAACAGCTCGGCAGAAAATAACAATCACCTTCACCAAGTCTTAGAAAAACCTATGTCGCCAACCAATCTCACACATACGTAACGTAGGGGATTTTAACTACAAAGAGATAAACTGGAACCATTACACAACCAGCGTTAGTGAGTAGCATCCAGCAACACTCTTCCTAGAGTGCATAAGGGACAACTTCTTGTACCAACATGTTACAGAAACGACCAGATACAGAGAAGGACAAACACAATCAACATTGGATCTAATCCTTTCTAATGAAGAGGGAATGGTTGAAAGTCTTAATTATTATAATGGACTAGGGGAAGGCGACCATCTTGTACTAACCTACGACTTTATCTGCTACAGTCAAATTCCACGAGCAGAACAAATTCGGGCACCCATGAAACATAATTTTCACAGAGGAGACTATGAAGTAATCAATGAGGGCCTCAAACAAATGGATTCTCATGAACTTGCTAGATGTTCAGACGTCAAGGAGGCTTGTGAGAAGTTTTCTGTTATTATCACTAAAGAAATAGAGACACATGTACCAGTGAGGAATAACTCCCTCCCAATAAGGAAAATCAACATCGACAAAGCTTCAAGTGATTCATTTAAGAAAAAAGGGCAGCGTTGGAAAAAATATCTTCACTGTAAAAACCCAGAAAAACTTCAGAAAATACAAGACTGAGAGAAATCGAAGCGTCCATCTAACTAGAAGTTCAAAATATACCTCTGAAAAAGATTTGGCGGACAACATCAAAACAAACCCAAAGTCGTTCTGGAAATATGTTCGAACTAAAACAAAAACAGCAACGTTCATCACCAGAGTCAAAAATGATAAAGGAGAAATGAGCACCTAAGACTTGGGAGACGGCCAACGTTATGAACACTTTCTTTGCTAGTGTATTTGTTGACGACAGCGAAGTAGTTTTGCCTGAGTTTGAGGAAAGACCATACAATAGCATGCTAACCGACCTATCAGTGACAGAAAATCATGTGTTAGCAGCAACTAAGAAAACTAATCCAAACAAATCTCCTGGCCCAGATAACATCTATCCAAATTTCATCTCAAAAACAATAGAAACATTAAAAGAAACTCTAACAATCATCTTTAACATGTCCATTCAAGAAGGAACCCTACCAGATGCGTAGAAACAAGCTCATGTCTCCCCAATATTTAAGAAAGGTTCTAAAAGTGACTCGGGAAACTACAGACCTATCAGGTTGACGTCAGTTCCATGTAAGATCCTACAACGCATAGTCCGAGATGCAATCTTAAAACACATGGTCAAAAACCATCTCTTCACCCCCCACCAACCAGGCTTCAGAAGTGGCCGATCCTGTACCACTCAACTACTAGAGGTCATTGAAGACTGACTGGACACAGGCACTAGATGATGGGAACAATGTGGACATCGTATACCTCGACTTCAGCAAAGATTTTGACAAATGGTCGCACCGCTTCCTATTATACAAACTATATAAATATGGTATCAGAGGTCATTTTGACTTGGACTAAGGAATTCCTAACAGACATGACCCAACGAGTAACAATCAACGGAGCAAAATCCTCAAGTCTTCCAGTCACAAGTGGAGTCCCCCAGGGAAGCGTCCTTGGCCTGATACTATTCTTGATCTACGTCAATGACATGCCTGAATTTCTCAGCTGTATAACCAAATTATTTGCGGATACCAAACTCTATTCAAAACTCGAACAGAATTAGAAAGACAAATAAACATCAACAAAGTAAGTAACTGGAAAACACCCTAAAATTATCAACCCAAGTCGATGCGTCAGTGTCGAAAGCTAACCAAATATTAGGTGTACTGTTTCGAACCTCCATTTTTATGGATATAGCTCTTTTTACAACCCTGTACAAGTCCCTTATCCGTCCACATCTGGAATACGCTACGCAAGTGTGGTCACCGTATCTAAACAAGAACAAATAGCTATCGAAAATTTCCAACGAAGACCAACTAAATGAGTACTAGAAATACAGAATATGCCCTACCATGAACGCCTAAGAACATTAGGTCTACCATCTCTGGAATACAGGCGTGAGAGGGCAGATGTGGTTGAGCTGTACAAAATATTGAACAGGATCGACCAGTTAGACAACGGCCTGATGTTTCGTCCTACACCACTTATTGTCACTAGAGGTCACTCTAAACAAATATTCCAGAAACCTTTCGGGCTGAACACTAGTAAGAATGTCTTTAGTAACCGAGTGATCAAGGTCTGGAACAGTCTACCCGAGGAACCTGTGTCGTCAAAAACACTTAACGAGTTCAAATCAAACTTAAACACACTGTGGAGGAATCACCCCCGGAAGTTCTGCCCTTCCTTTTATCACTAATGATCCACATGGGATCTTTAACATTAAAAGAAAAGAAATAGTAATAAACATATTACCATTAAAATGTTAGTTATCCCCTATAGTATAATTGAGAATATGTACATAAATATTTTAAATCATACATAAATTATTGTTATAATAAACAAGTATTCACAATAAAATATAGTGTAAAAGCTTGATACATTGTAAATAGTTTTAATCCCTGCGCAACCGCAGTCCGTTGATGGCAGGCTATTCTGCTAGCAACGTATCAAGTCAGAAGAGGATATTTAGACGTCTCCACAAGCTCAAGCTTCCGATCGACGTTCAACAACAACATATATATTGTTAATAGTTAATTACAATTATTGAAAATCAACCTGTGTGCGCAACCGGAAGGAAGTCGTGTCCAGCAGAAGTTTATTGACAAGGATCATACCATACGGCTAACCTCGGCCGATTCGGGTACCTTTCATCTAGATGTAGATCTGCCGAGGTGTACCGAATGGAATCATACATCATACAAAAGCCATTGATGTCAACCAGTGATTCCAGTGATTCAAGGGGATACCCGAACCGGGCCGAAAACTTAGATAAAAGAAGGAGGTGTGCAGTGGAACTTTACTGGGTCGATCGTCAGACGGCGACCAGTTAACTCAACTGGTAGAGCGTCCGTTTAGAGTTCGGAGGGTCCAGGGTGTAACCTTTGCCTGGCCGTTGGATTTTTCCTGTTACACTAGAATAATTTAATCTTGCTTGTAACAAGCATTTCCATTGGCTTAAAAAATGTATGTTATCATCCCATAACGTAAAAATATGACGCCATTTGTAACGTCGGTTTTGATTGGTTGATACAGCGGCGCAATAGTTTCTAAGAGAAAAGAGTCCATCAATAAAAGAGGATTTCCACATGGATTGTGTATAGAAGATTAAATTATAAGGATTAACTTGAATATATTTTTCATGTTATGGAGCTATAACACAAAAAACCGGAGTGTACTCTCGTCATAAACCGCGGTTTGTTTAGAGTACATTCCGGTTTTTTGTGTTATACCTCCATAACATGAAAAATAAATTCAAGTTAATCCTTAAATGAAACCGGTGACCAGAAATTCTATTGGCGGCCCCAGTTTCAAGAACGTTTCTGAAAATTTCCATTTCATCTCGCCTCGCGTAATCATTTTTAATTTTAGTTAGAGAGTGTTCCATG